TATATATATATATATATATATATATATATATATATATGTGGGGAGGATTGTATACAATAAGACTTTTTACCTTTGGTACAAGGAGGTCACAATTCACAATTACTTATAACCATCCGATGTGAAATTTGATAGCTTGAGTGTGTCACAAAGTTCGCGAAAATTTCTTTGAAAACGTTGAGCTTGGTCAATGAAATAAATGCAGCCACCCAATTTCACATCTAATAGTTAAGATTAATTGTGACCACCTTGTACCCAAAGGAAATGGTCTGATTGTATACTTACTTTATATATATATATATAGAAAGAGAGAGAGAGAAACTTGGCACATTAGTTTGGATTTTCTTGTATCAAGCTATGAAACATATAACACCACATCCACGGACAAATTCCATGTTTGGTCCCTACATGTGTCCCCTGGATATTTATTGTACGACATGCAGCTAATCTGTTTTTTTTGTTCCTTAATTTTATTTGAATGGTCAGAGTTCTATTAAGGTGCTGGCATATTGCAGGTTATGGGAAATCATGTGGCCATAACAGTAGGTGGCTCAAATGGTCATTTTGAGCTCAATGTATACAAACCAATGATTGCAAGTAATCTTCTACGGGTATTGTTTTCTTGGGCTCGAGTGCTGCAACATAGTTATATTTCTTGATTCTTATATGCAATAGTATTGCAAAAGCTAGGAGATTTCAAATTGTCACTAATATTGTGCAGTCGCTGAGACTACTTGCTGATGCATCGATTTCATTTGAGAAGAACTGTGTGAGAGGAATCCAGGCTAATCGTCAAAGGATTTCAAAACTCCTACATGAGGTGATCTCTCAACCAAAATTACATGTTTTGTCTAGTATTTTGCTTATCATGTCTTCCTCCTTCGACTAGGGCTTTCCTCGTTTTGCTTCTATGCAAATAACAAAACTTGGTTTTGTGCAGTCCCTAATGCTTGTTACATCTCTGAATCCTGTAAGTGTTCTTCATTTTGACATTGCTTTTCCTATAAATTCGATCAATTTCTGTATGGGGTTGACTTTAGGTCGAATATTGATGAAATTGAGTGTTTGTTTCCCAGAAAATCGGATACGATAATGCTGCCGCTGTAGCCAAGAAAGCCCATAGAGAGGGAACTACTCTTAAGGTGATCCTTATGCTTCTATAACTATCTGTCCCCTTCATATAATTTTTTACCATTTCCTGGCAGGCTTACTTGATAACACATTAATTTGATTTCCCTTACGGTATTTCCATTCATATGACTATCACCATATTGAGGGCCACATTCTTTGCCTTGATTTATCGACATAATTGTGGTTTTATCAGACTGATCTTTCCCCTTGTTTTTTTGTTCTTTAAAGTTGAGTATTTGTCTCTATCCAGACAATTATCTGGACTGGACTTGCATAAGTACACATCTGCAGTTTCTCTATGCGTTGCCATAATTTTACAATGACATTTCTCACCTCAAATTTGTGAAAAATCAAACAGGACGCGGCGTTGAGCCTTGGGGTTCTCTCCTCACAAGAGTTTGATGAGCTCGTTGTACCCAATAAAATGATTGGCCCCTCTGATTGATGCAGGGCAAAAGGCACCAATTCCAATTTATTTGCCTATTTCCTGGGCAAATTGCTCAGGACTTGAACATTATTTTAACATAACCCCACCCCATGAATATGGTGCCAAATGAGTCCCAACATAAAAAATAAGAGTTTTGTGTCTTATTTTTTTGTAGCCTCCTCATCCATTGTATTTTTGGTTACTTTTTCGAGTTATAGAACCTCTTTAATGGAGGTCATATCAGGAGTAAGGGGATGAGTGGAGGCATTTGATTATGAATTCTGAGATCGATCCATACTGCAAGCGAGAACTAGCCTTGCCTTTCTCATCAATTGATTGTATTTTTTCCGTTGTGCAATAGACAAGATTTTAGTAGTAATAAAGAAAATAAGGGGCTATGCTATTTTATGTTTCTATTCCCTGTTTCATTTTTTTTTGAGAGACTGGGATGTTAACAGTTGGATTTTATCCTTGGCTGTGATGCTACAGCTTAAGCGACCAGCCCATAAAACTCTGCAGGTGGGAACCTTGATTGGATTCGCTGTGAGATAAGGGAACAGGAAATTTATCGAGATACACCTGATTTGTCGATTATTTAACATCTTTCCAGTTTAAACTTTGCCAACTCATAATCGTATGTAATTTCATGTGATTGTTTATTAAGATAAAAAATAGATGAAATGTCAAATAGTTTCCAAAAAAAGTATATGCATTTCCATTTTTTTTAAGGGAAAAGTTTATATAGAGCCGAGGCTCTAAATAATCAAATTTGAGCCTACATCAAAATTTTACCAACAGTTGTTTTGATGTTCAAATATCATCAAATTGATCATCTTGATGTCAAGATGCATAGGCATTAAAAAAAAAAAAGGATAGTGTATTTTGAAACACGTTTTTGGACCGTCAATTTTCACGATTTTCAAGTTTTTATAGATCTATCGATATACATTATTTTTGAAGCTTTTGGCTCTAATTTGTTTGTTTAGAGCTTAAGCTCTATACAAACTGCACCTTTTTTTTAATCTCTCCAATTTCTCATGCATTATAATGTCAAGTTTGTGTTATTAGTAATAGAATGTTGTGGTAATCACAACTAAGGTCGCAGTTCCTTTTAAGCAGGCGAAGTAAAACCTCACCTTGGAATCGTCTCCAGAAAACATTTCAGCCATCAGAAATCTTAAGATTTTATATAGCCTAGGCCTTACGAAGAAAAATTGAAGTCTCACCTTGAAATCGTCTCCAGGAAACACTTTGGACCATGGAAATCCTTAAAATGACTAAAATTTATTCCCCTGCCAATTACAAAATTTATAATTAAAAAAATATTATAGACCTAAAAGGATCCACTGGATTGCCTAAATAATGCGTTACAGTCTACACTTTTTTTTTTTCAAAATGATCTATTTGAAAGTTTTTCAGACACCAGAGCCATATCTCTTTGGTGAATTTTGAGGAGAGACCTTTTTGTACAAACCATTGCCCTTATTCTAACCCTTTTCCAACCTTTTTCCTCAACAACATATGGTTCGGAACGGGACGAGTGTCCTTCACGAGAAAGAAAAAACTTACTCTAGCGCATAGACAATGTTTCAAAGGTTAATTCTTGGGAGTCATTTTAATTTAAGAAAAAGATTGTATACAAGGAGACCATTTACCTTAAAATTATATTGTATTGTTTGTGGATATTGTATTGTTTGTGATGGTTGGTGCTCAATCCTAGAGCATTCATTGCCATTTGTTTCAGGTGCGTCAAGGTATGCATATCTTTTATGAGTCGTTAGGTTATATGTAGAAAGTTTGTTTATTTTTAAATTTTTTAAGTTGGTTGCTAGATCGAGCGGGTCACATTCACAAAATTGAGTCTTAAAAAATACTAAGTACATTGTTTGATAGCAACCGGGAACAAGTAATCCTTTTTTTATAGAGTTCCTAAGCCCATGATCCGCGCCCCAAATTTTCTTCTAGAAAGCACTAAAAAAAAAGAAAAAATTGGAAAGCACTGGGCACCAAACAAAAAGATCTATTACAAGATATGAATTGGGTTCTCACTATTGATGTCTATCAATTATAGATACTTTTCCCACATCAAAACAATTTTTTTTGAAGGATTTTAGAGGTGCACCTTAATTCTACATTTTAAGGTGGCAACCTTATATAAACTTTTCCTATTATGTTTCCCTGAAAAGTATATTTACTCCCCTCTAAAAGGAAAATCATAGTCCGATCCATTAAAAATATACAGGTTGGATAGTGATGAACCTGGAAGGGACATATAAAACATGATTGGCAGTTATCCAATCCGGTCCATCATTCATAAGAGCCATAACCTCATCATTTTGCTGCAGATACTAATATCAGCCAACACCTCATCATTAAGCCGGAAGGTCACGAAGGTTATGAAGCTAATGCATGAATAGTAATATGATTAAAATGCGGCGGTGGCTAGGGGTATGGCTACATTCCCTGTGGTTTATAGGGTCCAAAGTGGAATCCAGGAGGAGGAATGGATGTAAATAAAGAAACTAGAATGATGTTTGGTATCAACTTTCAACTCAGCTATTTCCAACTATTGGCTTGGCTTTGACACCAAAAGACCGGCACAATGAGAATAATTTACACCCATTTTAAGGAAATCACATCTTACAACAGGCCTAATTCCAAGAACACTCAAGAGAGAGAATAACGGAAAAAATGAATATTTCAATATCTGAACTTCTAGTTCATGACTTAAGCATTACTTCTACAATGCTTTTATTTTATTTTAGAAAAAGGGAAACAGACTTCACAATTTCTGTGATGTTAGCATGTAATGCATATCATATCATAATACACAAATGACATCATTGCTATAGAGCTAACCTGAAAGCAAAGCCAATAATCCAATGGGAGCAGGAGGCACCCCAGATGCAGTGGGCGGGCTGCCTCATGAGGAATCCTAGAGAACCACATCACGCCGAAGTAGACATGGGAATCCGAGTGCAAAAAACAGTTCAACAAAAATATTCATTTATCTTAGTATAATCATATACAATACAGTATTTACATTATATTTATTTATTTGCATTATATTTTAGGGCATGTTTGGATGACAATTAATTTTATCCATGGCATTTTTTTAAAATTACCATATGTTGCATAACCTTATTTTATTAGTTGTTTGGTACGCACCTTGTCTTATGCATAATATTATTTAATATTTAATTTTTCTGGAGACTTCTAGCTATTTTTAACTATTTTTGGCTAAAATCATGTGATTTTCGGCAAATTACTTTGAATCAAGTGAAAACAATTCTTCCAAAAGATAAAATTAGATGCAAAACTTCCTCTTTTATCACGAATAACTTTATGATGGACTCAGCCAAATAATAGAGAATTCATTATCAAGATTGATTTTATTGAAGGACCCGGTTTCTACGCGGTCAAGCCCGCATATGTAGAAATGTGGGCTTCTTAATAAATCTATTTTTTAGATGGATTTTAAAACTTAATTTTTAAGGACATGTAATCTCTAACATGGAGATCATGAATATGAAAAATAAATAATTTTTAGGAAATAAAAATAATAATTCTAGTAGAAAACATTTGGACTGTTAGTTTCCATTGTTTTTAGATGGAACACCTACTTGCATCCATCTTTAAGATGGATGCTTTACACTTTCTGAACCGCATATGTAGAAATGCGATCCAGCCCGCATGAAACAATTTTCCTTTATTGAAACAATGAATTAAATTATCAGTGATATAGAGTACATCCAAAAAGGTCCCTAGCATTTGTTTACATAACTCCCTATAGTAGAGGTGGAACTCTATATTCTACTTATGAAGAATATCAGAGAAGTGCTAGAAGCCAGTAAATCACTTGCCTAAGCACCTTTTACAAAGGTAATATAGCTTGGATGCTTCCCTTATTGCTCTGGAGTGTATGGAGCTATGGACTCATGGCACAAAGAAAGCCACAGTACCTCTTTAGGAGGTGGGTGCTAGGTAGCCTAACTGTAGGAGGCTTCGAGAGGTGCTGGAGGCTTGACATCACTTGACAGGGAGCCTTCAACAAGGGTAAGCAAATCCGAATGCTTTCCTTTATTGCTCAAAACTGCATAGACTCAAGACATAAGACCCTACATTGTTTATGAGGTGGACAAGGAGACAACATACTACTATGTGGATTAGGGTCTTTTGGATTTTATGCTTAAAAAAACGAATCTCTTGCATTTGGCGGAGGAGACGAAATGAACTTCATGCCTTTCCAGCTCCCTTGGCTTCCGCTTAGTGGTAAACAAATTGGTCTGGGTGAGGGAGGTCAAGGGCTCGCACCCTTTAAGTTTGTAAAAGCCCAAATAAGCTTAGCCTTCTTTTTTTTCTCTCTTCAGACTTCTTAGTAATGAATGAAGAATCCCTAAGGTTTTCCCAACTCTGAGAGGCTTAAAGCAGGGTTATCCTCCCATCCCCTGTGTTTCCTACAATGTTCGAGTATTTCGTCATGCAGTATCAGGTTGACGTTTATTGAGGGGTTCCCAGTTGCATCATGAACAGAACAATTTCTAATGTTTAGTGTGAAGAAAAACCCCTTGATTTCTACAATGCTTCAGCTGCACAAAAAGCAGGGGTCTATCTTAAACGACATGCAATGCTAATGGGTTAGAGAACAAATTTGTGACTAGGTGATGGGGTTGAGGGTGGCGGGAATACTCTACAAAATCTGAGAGAAACTTTACCATATGCTTGTTTAACAAGGACATGCTGCAAAGTACAAAGTTCAAACTATATGTTCCGTGTAAATTGATATCTTAGTCCCATTCAAAACCCTGTAATTGACCTAATCATATATAAGGAAGAAGAAAAAATAGTGAATAAATATCAAACCCTGACAACTGAGATTATGACATGGAAAGTATGCAATATTAGTTGGCATAGAAAACCGTCACAACAAGTAACTGCTATATTGCCTTTAACTGCATTTTAACCATAAAAAAGAAATAAAGAAAGAAAAATAGTTAACAGACAACTGCAACATATCAAGGATGTCATAAAACCCACCACGGCCATCCATATTAGTAAACATTTGTGGAAGAGCCACCATATTCATCACCAACTGAATGAAAAACTTTCAATATATTTCGTTGCATCAAAAAACAGAAGAATAAAGGAATACGAAAACCATGAGTTGTGGAACTTGATCAAGAGAAAGAGCATACCATGGTAAACGGATGAACAGGATCGCTTCAATAACATGCTCAGTTTACGGGATCACAAAAAAAAGAAAGGATATTTTTTTGAGAAACAAAAAAAAAGATGTTTACAAGCTGAAAGTAACCTCCACGCCTCCTCTCTAATTAAGAGGGCCAAAAAGGGACAACAAAGCCTGGCAAAAGCTTTTTCACATTATTCAAATAAAGGTTCGTAACAGAACAAACAGAAGGGAAAAACCGAGAGAGAGAGAATAAGAAAAATTCAACTATATATCTAGTAACCCCAAGACCTGCAAAACCCAAGAACCCCATGAAACAATTCTACTTACCAGCAGACTTGAGGGTCTCTAAAGTCGACTTGATTTGATCCTGAATCAATTCAATCCTCTTTGAATAAACCTCCAACTCCAAAATCTGCTGCTTCCTCCACCTCTCATCAACCTGTGCCCCCAGATTCAGCCCATCAAACAAACCCCCACCATTCAATGGAGGCAAATTAAACCCTAATCCAAAACCAGGGGAATGGATAGGCACATTCACTGCACACTGAAACATCTCCTTGAATAAAGGAGAAAGGCAACATCTCACTGTGTCTTCGACAATTGCCTGAATCCCATTTGGGTCTCTCACGCTTTGATCCTCTGTTCGAGGTCTTTTCAGCTTCTTCTTATCAGGAACACTCCTCTCTTCTTCTTCTACACTTTCCAAATTTTTTGAATCCACACCATAAGCCTCATGGTTACTGGGGTTCTTATTATTGACAGACCTGAAACCCCCACTCCAAATTTTCTTCGAAATCTCGAAAGCAGCCTGATCATGAGGGCTCTTGAATGAGAAGTCTTTACCTGCTCCCATTTTGTTCACTACATTTCGATACTTCTTCTTCAATCGCCGCAATTTCTCAACCAACTGGTTCTTGTTGAAATCAAGTTGCAGAGAGCTTTTGATCTGGTCATAAAAAGGAGTTAGGTCATGAAAACTACCAGTTCCTTTCTGAGAATATTCATAGAAGCCATTTAAGAGGCCTATTTCATCTTCATCGGTCCAAAGTCGCTGAAAAAGCTTTCGGGAATCATCAAAGAGCTTTTTCTCTGGCTCACTGTCATGGCAATCAACGGGGGTTTCAGGGATTTTTCTGCGTCGCTTCTTCCTCTTTGATGCAGAGAATTCTTCAGGGGTCATAAGTTTCTCAGAGCCGTTTTGTGGCATAGATGGAGGAGGAAGAGGGGGTGGGGAATCAGAATAAGAGGAGCAAGAAGGAGAGACCATGGGGGAAGAGGGGTTAGTTTTAATGGACGGATTCAGGTCTTCCTCAGATGGATTACGATCTTCATCAGAGGAAGGTGGCGCCATAATTCCAGAAAAAAGAACTGAACGAGGACTAGGGTATTCAGAAACAGAGTTAACACAATTAGGGTTTGCAAGCGGGAAGTACTAAAATTAGGATTTTGCAAGAGGGAAGTACTAAAATTAGGATTTTGCAGGACGAGAAGTAAGAAAATTAAAATTAGGATTTTGCAGGACGAGAAGTAAGAAAATTAGGGTTTTCAAGAGAAGAAAAAGAATACCCGTTTTGCAGGAGAAAGAAGAACCAAGATAGAGAGTTAGCGCTTACCAGAAGAAAATAAGTGAATTAACATTGAAATATAATTAGGGTTTCGAAGATAAACTCAGGGAGATAAAATTAGGGTTTCTGAATATAGACAAGCAAAAACTAGGGTTTTGAGAAGAAAAACAGAAACGGAATGGCTTGGGGTTTTCAGATGAGAGAGAGACTTAGGGTTTGCTGCTTTCAGTAACAAACGGTCGTCATAGACGTGTAGAGATAATCCTGAAATACCTTTCGACGCTGACCCTCTAGTCCACTATACCCTTCATTGGTTATAGAATATCCAAAATACCCTTGAACATTGAAAGTTGGGATTTTGCTTATCTTCCCTAGAAAAAATAAGACACATTAAATAGTAGAGGGACCGTGCCGCCCTTGAATGAATTGGAGAGGGACCAAACCCAACACCACAATGTTGTTTTTGTATAGTCCATTTCGCATAGAAACCAAATGGAAAGCATACTTTTTAGTTTACATGCTTCAGTCCAGTATAAGACATGAGAAAACCCACTTAGTGTCTTGTTAAATGTATACGAAGATCGATAGTCATCTCATCTTGGATCGAACAGATAATAATTTAATATTAATTTATTTTAATTAAGATATAACTTATTTAGAGTAATGTTGTTGTTTTACTCTTGATTGTCGAATTAAGATTAGGCGGACAAATGCCTCTCTACACGTATAATTTATATGTCGAGACAAATAAAGCTCACCTCACATGGAAGAAACAATTTTAAAGTCCCTCTGCACATAAGTTACATGAGCTTAGGGATTGATCATCATTCCATAGTGATCATATAGACAATAATGTCACATATTAATTGCAACCTTGCATTTTATGATATCGTTTTTAGCTCAACAACTAATCAAGATAAAAAAAAATTGTCAATCCAAAACACGTATAAAGTTCATATACATATAGGGACCATACTACGCTCGCCTTACTTGTAACCACTCATATGGCTTTTTCGAAAGGTTAAACCATAACCAAGTTGACCCACCTTTCAAATAGGCTAGATGCTCGTCCGAAGTTTGTATTAGAGCCATGGAGGTCATCTATTCTCTACCAAATAAGTGAGATTGGATTTTAGCTATCAAGCCATAAACTTGTCCACTTTTTTTTAAGGATGAGGTTTCTACAAGGCCTAGACATTATTAAAACAAAATAAAGCCTCATCTCAAATCCTCTTCCGAAAAGTACTTTCAACAACATAAATATTTATAGTGGCTCTAAAATCAAATTTCAACACCAACAATAAAATTTGAAACTCAAAAAATGATACAGATCTTATGAATATGTGAACACTTATTTTAAAAGCAATATGGATAGTCTAAATAATTTGTTACAATATACACTATTTTTAAAGCTCGAAATCCTTTTTTTTTTTTACAACCATAATGTTCAAGTTGAGACGAACGATATAAATCTTTTTCAAAACCTTGACTTGCAACTTAAGATGAGTTATGAGATGAGGATTTACTTATATTGACATCCTTTCAAACGATTTTTCTTTTCTTAATTATGCAGCTGTCAAAGAGGCTCAAGTATCGTCCTATCCAATTCAATAAAAATCATATCACACTTATTAGTCATATGATTTAGCTACATGTATCTAAGCCCCTTTCTTCTCTCATCTTACAAATGGATATTAGATCTCAAAGTTATAGGGTTGATAATCTCACTCACGGTGATCATAAATCTAAAAAATAAAGCAAATTTTGAAACTTAAAATAATATGATTGGAATTTCTTTTTGCCCAAAATTTGACCTTTTAATGGGGGGACCACTTTTCCTCATACCACCTAAAGTACCGTACAATAACGGTGCACAACATATTGTAGGGAATGCGACTACAACAGTAGCTAGAACCCAACTTTCACCGCACGCACATCACAATAATGGAAGGTGGATGATCCATGGTGCACTGCACCTCGCACGCCATGATTGGCGATTTCATGCTCCCCCATTGATTATTTGGGGCTTCTTTCGAAAGGACTAATCTAAACAGATGAAATAATAAAAATCCATCAAGCCGGCTACCAAACCCACAACTGATATATAGATGTGATCAATAAGAAATGGTAGGAATATAGTCCATAATGCCATCAACACCCTCTTTTATATTTCATCTTCTATCCACAAATTGATTATTATGTTTATCTTTTCCTTGGATAAGGAAACGACTTTGTTTCCATTTTTCACATGGCTTTTCTTTTTTTTGGTTTCCACCTTTATGCCTTCAAACGAAAAGTTCGATAGGAGCTCTTCATACCAAACTCTAAACTAGTTGCAAGCACGGTTGTAAATGCGTCTGGTCAGGTCTGGGTCAACCCTGACCTGCCCAATTAGGTCTAAATTAAACCAGGCACGTTGGGTCCGTTTTATAAATAACAAAATATAAAAAATTATTTTACATTTTTCATAGTATACCGATAATAAATTACTTTACATCTTTCATAGTATATATATAATATTATTTATATGTATTTTACATTAGGGGAATGATTTTATGCAACGGTTGTATAGTAATATAATGCAACCGTCTTAAAAAACTATGTTAAAGACATTTGTTTGACACAAATTTTTACATGTACACTCTTTTCATTATGAAGAACAATAACAAAAAAGAAAATTTTGAAAAAATGCTTTAGAAAGTTTTCATTCTAGCCCAATTAATATAAACCGTCCATTTTATTGAGATGGTTAGATATAGGCTTCGGTTGCATTTTTTTATTTTCAAAATTTTTATATAGCGTTATCATCATTAGATTAGTAATGCTAAAAAAGAAAAAAGTGATTTTGAATTTGTTAAGGCTTAGATCTTGAAATTCATCAATTGGATGGTCAAGATTCATTGTTGGATGGGTACTAATTTTGACCATATTTAGGGTACAAATTGATTTTTTTTTTTTTTTTTTGTAGGATTGATTATGGCAATGAAGAGAATGTGTGTACAAAATTGGGGTCATACAGCTGCCAAAAATGTGATTTTTTAGAGGTGTGGTTCCATTATAATACTATACAACAGTTGCATTAGATCATTTCCCTTTATATTCCTGGTTGGGTTGGCTCCGACCCATTCTTAGACCTCGGCAATGGTTTAGGCGGCTGGGTTTGGTCTGGTGGGCCCAGCCCTAAAAACCAAGAACCGGCCCGCAAAATGTGGCTTGAGGGCCGGACTCGGGCCGAGCGGCTAGGGCCCGAAGGTTGGGTCAGGGCGAGGGCCTACCCAGCCCAACCCAAGCAGGGGCATGCCTAAGCTTGGGCCATGGCTTTTTTGCTCTGATTAGGGCCAAGCTACGCTAGAGCTAGTCCTGTAAGGACTAGGGCCTAGACGGACATGGCCCTTTGCCAACCCCTCCCTACATGGGTTGAGTCAAGATCAAATGGATCCAAACCCAACCTATTGGTGCATTATCTCGGTCCAGACTCAAACCAGTTGAGTCAACCTATCAGGTCCATGAGTCAAACCGATCCATTTCCCTTCCCTAGATGGAATAAATTGTACGAAAAAACTCATCTTTTTATTGAGTGAGGGAAACTACAAATCACAATAGGGCTTGGCCGCTGGCCGAGCCAAATAACTCCGATCAGGCTCGGGCTGAGTCTGGCAAGCAAAAAAATGTTAAAAATTTTAAAAAAATACAAAATTCCCCAAAAATAAGAAAATATATTTTAAAGTAAAATTAAACAAATCCATGTCTAAATGAGACTAAAAAAGTAGTGAAAAAATAAAATTTTAAAAAATTCAAAATACTTTTCAATCTTTGCCAAATCGATAGAAAACATAAAACAACATATATATATATATATATATATATATATATATATATACTTTTGAATTTCTTTATTTTTTATTTTTTTTAAGATTCCCAGGTCGACCACCCAATTGGGGGATACAGATATACGTGAAACCTTGTTTCCTAATAGATGGATTGTAAAAACCCATTATTTTGCGTAACTCACGATTTTTGGTTTGAGCCAATATAGATCCTATTTTATAGGAAGGTAAAATCCCATTATCTATGGGAGATCTAGTTACAACAAGAAAAGGCGTGATTTCTATTATGGAGAGAAGCCTTTCTAACTCCTATTGGGGAGAGGAAATCTTTCTAACTCCTAAAAGATAGGAAAATATATGGGGTGTCTTGGATCTTTATAAATAGCATATTTGTAGAGAGATAAAATAATGCAAAAAAAAATTAGAGGTAAGGTTAGTTATCTAGCCTTTTTGGGTGGGTGTTTTTGAGAGAAAAATACTTTATGTTAGGGCCCTGGATGTAGGTAACTTGTCGAACGACGTAAATCTATATGTTTATGTTTTTTTATTTTTATGCACTATACTTTTTTCCTTTATTTTTGGGAAACTTTGGTTTTAATCCTCTACCATTGGTATCAGAGCCTTATGGTTGTTTAAGATCCAGCATAAGCATATCTTTGAAGATGACGGGAGGAAGTTAACTAGATATGAAATTCCTTTGAAGATGGTTGGAGGAAGTTCAACTAGAAATTCCTTTGAAGATCGCTTGAGGAAGTTCAACTAAATATGAAATTCCAAAATGCTAAAAACAAAATAGGCGAGAGCACGAGCCATAATACGAGAGCACGAGCCATAATACGAGAAATAAAACATAAACTAAAATATAAAACAATACTGCAAGAATACAAAGATTTATGTGGTTCCCCCTAAGAGGGCTACACCCAAGGGCACGGTAAACTGAATTCCACTATACCAATGAAAATTATAGTACAGATTTTGGGATATAGGGTTATTTCTATAACCCTCAACAAAATCCAGCTGAGTAAACTCTTTTAGACTCAGTCTCCCTATTGGCACCATTGTCGACTTCTCATTTCTATTTCACCGCTAAACCATTATCCATAAAGAGACCATATCCATTCCACAGTTAAACTACTGTCCAATATGAGAACCGTCCAAGAGGAGAACCTTAAGAGCAATTGAAAATTTCTTATTTTACAGGAGGCGCATCCGTGGTGTTTCTCTTTCTTTTCGTAAAAAGCCATCTTCTCTCTAAGGGAAGCATCCCGTAGGAAGTTCTCTTCTCTCTAAGGGAGGCATCCCGTAGGAAGTTCTCTACTCTCTAAAGGAGGCCTTGCCGATGCTGACGAGGCTCTGCCTCTCACTTTAGAGGAAGCTACATTTCTCATATAATAACTCAAATAGGGTACACAAATCCTCTAC